CCAGTTGTATGTCTGTCTATCAAAGAACAAATAAATAGGAATAAAAAAGGAATTCCTTAAAAAATTTCTTAACTGCTTAAAGGGGAGGCTGATGGGGAAGAAAAGATATTCGTTACATAATTTCAGAAAAGGCTCAACAATAAGCTTATGAAGAAAGGATCCAGCAATACTTTTCAATTTCTGAGGAGGGGAAAGTGAATGTATTTTACAAATTAATCTGTTATGTAGCTTATCTTTGGCCATCATGGCCGTTAAAGATTTACAATATTCATCAGCCATCATTGCCTGACAGCTTAAGCTTTTGGGTGAAAAAGTTCTCGTCATGGTATCAGAGCTGACAAAGTAGTCTAGTGTCCAAACCCCCAAAACCCCATTCTTGTTAATTTTAAAATGAAATTAAAGCACATAAAACCAAGCCTGTCTCTGCCAATAAGTCCCATTCCAAGTTAATAATCACATAAATTGTTCATGTTCCTTAGTAGAGAAGTATTTTAACATGAGGCAACATCAATCAGGTAGCACAAAACAAACAGAAGAAACAGTCTAATTGCAGTATAGCCCCCTCAAAAATGTTCTTTTTTTTTCCCTGTTTCCCTCGTTGTCTCTATAAATAACACTAAAAAATTTGGGGATTAATCTGAGAGCACATCGATAAAATAAACACTAAAAAATTTTAGCAAAAAGAATAAAATCGGTGGAAATATAATATAATATGACCTTAAAGATCACAGGAGTCCCCTTAAGCAGGCCCTGAGCTATTCTTCCTTCATAAAGCCTGCAAATGGACTGCTGTTGGTAGCATCAGTAGCAGAAGGAATATGATTCTACATATTTGCCAACACCATAAAAATACTATCCCTCCTTCATTACCTGATTTTTACTCTGCCTTCTCCAACATCTTGAACTCTTAATTGCCCCGGAGAAGAAAATCCAAGATCTGCCCCTGACTGAAACCCCGAGTAGCTGAAAGCAAGAATTAATTAACCTCATTTTCTCATCAACTCTCATATCTTAAAACCACTAGATTTATCCTAAACTCAGCAACCCAGAAGAATACGAACAGAGAATTGCATGAGAAAAATGATACCTCGTAACATTCATGAATCCGTAGCTACCGATGAGTCGCCCCACCTCGAACGAGTCAGGGTTGGTGATTAGACTCGCTCTGCAGAGTCGAGTCACCCGAGTTCGACTCGCCGAGTTTGCATTCGCTCTCTTCAAGAGGATGGCCTTGGGTTTTAGAGAAAAAGGGAAGAGCAAAGATGAAGAAGAAGAAGAAGAAGAAGAAGAAGAGAGGAAGCAGTGAGGAGCTACAAAGAGCATAGTTAGTTTTCTGCTGCAACTAGAAATGGCGCGCACTGAGAGAAAATCGGATAAGGCTGATTGGATTGAAGCGCCATGGCTTGAAATATCATTTCTATTTTTTTTTTTTCACAAACCCCTGGACTTCTTATGTAAAATCAATTAATACCTCTTACTTTTTTTTCTTGCTCAATTGAGACCTTCTTTTCAATTTTTTTTTGTTAAAGTCTCTAAATCCAAATCTTCTATTTTTTTCTTCTTCTTCCAAATCCTCCGTATTAAAATGCCTTAACAGTTAATATGGTATGTTTATGTAAGGATAGGTCCGAGGTCCCCAACTTTGGACGTACGACAGTAATTCCTTTATAACCGAAGTGAAGGATAAATCCAACACTTCCCGCTCAAACAGCTGCATGACAACGACAATAAGCATGCCCACACTTGATTCCTTATAACAAGCTGCACAGTAGTTACGATGGACATCATCGCATATGAATATCTTTCAATTTTCCGATCCCGAAATAACCGTCTGGAGAGACACGTCAGACTCCGATTATCTTGCTTGGCATGTCACGTGGGTTCCTCACTGAAGCCTATAAATACCTCCCAAGGGCCATGTCAAAAAGGTAATTGAAACCAACCCTAAGCTCCTTTTATCTTCATTCTAAAGGTAGCTCTGATTATTGCTAACTTAAGCATCAGAGTGTCTACCCCGAGTTTCACCTCGGGGCTTTGCAGTCATTCCGAAGTGCAAGCGCGGACTGAAGAAGGACTTCTGGTTTAGTGCAATTACATTTGGCGCCGTCTATGGGAATCCAGACTGAAAGCTCTCTTGTTGCTCTCTCATAATGGTTAACACTCGATCAGTCCGAGCTGAAAATCCATCTCAGCCTTTTGGACAAGGTCAACTCCCCAACAACCTCCCACCTCAACTTCCACCTCAGATCCCAAATATGTTGCCTCCTATTGATCATGCAAAAGGAGGAGATGAAAACCAACCTCACAACTCAGCTCACAACTTAGCTTCCACCGCCAACCAAGATGTAGTTACAGCTCAGCTTGCTGCCATGCAACAACAGTTCGGTGTCTTTCAGTTAGTCCTGGCTCAGCTCTTAGCTCGGAGCAACCCTGGTGATCCCTTCATCAATTTACTCAACCCTGCTCCACAACCCCTAGCTCCACAGCAAAACCCTGAACCAATTCAGCATGCTCCTGCTCTTAGTGAATCTCAGGGTCAATCTCACATAGCACCAGCTCAGCAACCCCTTCCTGATGATGTCATTCGATGTCTGGACAACCTAGAAAAATTGGTAGCTAAACAGCGAGGAGCCTCACCTCCACACCATACTGCTGACTCCATACCCCATCCTTTGAACACCAACATCACATTGGAACCTTATCCCGCTGACTTTAAAATACCTCAGCTTGAGACTTATGATGGGACGAAGGATCCCAATGATCACCTACATGCTTTCTACTCTTGTATGCAAGCTCAGAATGCCTCTGACGCGTTGATGTGCCAAATCTTTCCCTTTACTCTTCGAGGTAATGCTCGAACCTGGTATTACAACCTACCTCCGAGGTTAATCAGCTCTTATACAGAAATGACATCTGCTTTTGCCACAAAGTTTTCTAGTAGAAGGTTGATCAGGAAAACTACTTCTGAGCTGATGCGAGTCAAACAAAGGGATGGAGAATCTTTGAAGAATTACATGAGCAGATTCAATGATGCAGTGTTGGAAGTTAGCTCCTTTGACCAGGCCATGGGAATTTCAGCTGTGATCTCAGGTCTAAACCATGAGAGATTCAGAGGTAGTTTGATCAAGCATCCTGCCACCACCTTTAACGAGGTGAATGATAGATCCCTGAAATTCATAACTGCTGAGGAATATGCCTTGTCGCAGAAGCCAACTCCCTCTAAGAACCAAAACCCAGACTGAAGGAATGAGAATCAGAGCAGGAAACGGATGAGAACAACATAGAATCGCGGTCCGATGTCGATCTCCACACCGAGATTTGGAAAGCCGAACTCAACACCTTTACAACAGTCTGCAGGTAAACCTCTAGTTACTTGGACCTCTTTTAATTTGCCGAGGTCACAAATTTTCATGCAGATTAAGAATAAGATGGACTTAAGGCATCTTGGCCCAATCAAAACTGTTGTTGCTAGCCGAGATCATACTAGATATTGTGATTTTCATCAAGATCACGATCATACAACAGAGCAATACAACAGCCTAAGGTCCGAGCTGGAAAATCTAGCCCAGAAAGGAATGTTGAATGAGTACATCCAGAGAGCTGAACAGCCAAGATTTGTTAGAGAACAGGGGCCACAGCCCCAAGGAATCTGTAATCCACCAAACAACCAAGGAGTAGGGCATCAACAAGCCCCACCTCCACTTCCACCACTAACTAGAATTTACACATGGTTATAGGACGATTGGAAGCAAGAGGGTTGAGCTCCAAACAGAGAAAGTTATATGTCAGAGAGGTAAAGCATCAAAACCGAGCTCAGAAAAGTAAACTTGATGATGCTGACTAAAAAGATCAACCAATCACTTTTACACCCGCTAATTTTGAAGGGGTGGTAACACCTCACAACAACCCTTTGGTCACCTCAGTAATGATCAACAACTGTCAAGTCCAGCGTGTACTTGTTGACACTAGCAATGCACCCGACATCATGTACTACCATTGTTTTGAGAGCTTAGGGCTCGACCCAGCTCTGCTACAATGTTACGATGGTCCCATATATGGCTTCAAGAACCAACCAGTTCCAGTCGAAGGGGTCCTAACCATGAATGTTGCATTTGAAAGTGGCCGAACCTACGTGACTCCTTCAGTTCGGTTTCTGGTAGTCAAGATGCCTTCTTTTTTCAATGTTGTCATTGGCCGGCCCACATTAACAAAGATCCAAGCTGTGGTCTCTCAATCTCATCTCTGCATGAAATTTCCAACCCTCATGGGAATAGCAACACTCAAAGGTAACCAGGAAGTGGCCAGACATTGCTATCTCACTTCGGTCACAAGGCCACAAAAAAACAAAGATCAACCAGCAGAGAACCCTCCACAGGAAATCCATGACAATCGGCAAGTGATGGGGGTTGAAATCCTTGATAACCGACTTGAGGATGAAACTCGAGCTGCTCCAGGTGAAGATGTAGATGAGGTACAGATTGATGAAAAATATCCGAACAGAAAAACACAGATAGGAACTCGGTTGAACCCTGAGGAAAGAGCAGAGTTGATAACCTTTCTCCGAGCTAACAAAGATGTTTTCGCACGGACCTCAGCAGACATGCCAGGGATTCCCACCTCGGTATCTCAACACAAACTCAGCATTAATCCACTTAAGAAACTAGTAGCCCAGAAGCGGCGCCTCTTTAGGGGGGAAAGGTTAAAGGTCATAAAGGAAGAAGTTGAAAAACTTTTACAAGCTGGCTTCATCAAATGGGTCGATTATTGTGAATGGGTTGCCAATAGACCTGGCAAACGGGCGGGTTGGGTTGGGTTAGGGTCGGGTCAGAACGAGTAACGGGTCAAAACGGGTTGGGTTAAAACGGGTCACGGGTCAATGAAGGTAGACCCTAACCCACCCATCACGGGTCACGGGTCAATCCGCAGGTTGACCTAATTAAAATTTTTTTTTTCTATAATTTGTACCTATTATCATTCAAAGAAAATTATTCAAAAGATTTAAAAAAGAAATTCAACATCTTATAAAAATAA